TGTTCTTGGGTGCCCGAGCCCCCTCCCTCCGCCCAATCACAAAAGCTAGTTGATTAGGAGAAATCGAAAGCCCGAGAGAGGAAAATGGGGGCTGTAGAGCCAGGAGGCTGGGCCGCCCATTGACTCGATAATTTTTTTGTTATTTAATACACCAAATAACAAAGTGACACATGCATGTCACGTAGGAAGTCTACTAGTAATTTTCACCATAAATAGCATTACTCTTTTTTTCCATGTAGCTCCAGGAAATTGGCAATATTTGCTGTTGACCTCAAAAAATGGCTCCGACACGTGGCCAACAGAAAATGTCTTTAAGTCAGCTCTTCCTTACACACGTAGCACGTCGTTAGTCACTCGTGGCCTTTCCTAGAGGGGTTGAGAGCAGCCACAAGCACTCCAATGGTCAAGTCAATTTAAAGTTCAACCGAAAAAGAGTTTACCGGCGGTGGAACACTCGCCGGGAAATGGTTGACAAGGTGTATATCAAAAAGTGCTAATATTTGAGGGAGGAAAATACTTAATTTTGCAATTTGGTGGTAGTTTGGAGTGTGTTGGATTCCAATCCTTCTTTAGGCACAAGGAAGTGGTATTTATACTAAGGATGGGAAGAGGAGAGCCGCTGGATGAGGAGACACGTGTTGCCAGATCTCCGGAGTTCGTCCCATCCTAGGTATCAATCCATCCCTCCATAGGCTGGCTAGCATTGAATGTTTCTGACAAGAGCAGCTGATTTGACCGTTTGAGTCCTGCCAAACGTNTGTTGCCAGATCCTCAAGGCTCGTCCCATCCTAGGTTGGCTGACATAGAATGTTTCTGACAAAACCAGATGATTTGACCGTTTGGGTCCTGCCACATATCCCATCAGTGATTTTACTTTGGAAAGATCTTTGTATAAGAGATCTTTGATGAGGCGAGGCGAGGTCAGACAGGTGAGGCATTACAGCGTTGTAGAAGCGGAGTGCAGACCTTTGCATCCGCGGTATACTTGTAGATGAGTCCAGTTCGTTTCCTGATGCCTATTCAGTTCGTTCTTGTGGGATCACTTCAGCATATACAGTTAGCTCGTCCTATGAGCAATCACCTCGATCGACGTATGGCGTGGTGTGGGCCACCTCTGATGACACGTGGAGGGTGAGGTGGCATGTCAGACTCATGCCCGTAACAATAGTCCCGCAAGTCCATGTATCGATATTTATATAGTGCAAGGACTTAGTTTCAATGGTTGAGTTAGGACACACGGGGACGAGCGTCGGAGGTGGACAGTCGAAGTGATAAGGGTTGGAAACTCGAGGAGGGGTTGTAGCAACATTAGATTCTGCTCTGGCCGAAGTGATATGAATTGGCAACTCTGTGGAGAACTGTTGCAACATTAGATTCTGCTCTGGCCGAAATGATATGGGTTGGCAACTCTGTGGAGAGCTGTTGCAACATTAGATTCTGCTCTGGCCGAAGTGATATAGGTTGACAACTCTATGGAAAGCTGTTGCAACATTACTCTGCTTTGGCCGAAGTGTATAGGTTGGCAACTCTGCAGAGAACTGTTGCAACGCGAAGCAAACGAAGTGATGGGCTCTGGAGGGATAGTCTTGGATTTTATGTCAATGATTTGAAGGCTTTCGCGTCTTCCCAAGGTAATCATGGAGGGGGGCGTTCGGTTGCTTCCAAGACAAGCCTCCGTTGCCACAAATGGTAATGATAGCGACGACTTTCGTTCCTGAAGGTGACATGTTTGGGTCACGCGTGTAGCTCACCGATTCATTAGGGCCGTTTATGTAAATGACCATTGGCTTTAACGGAGATCCCAGTACTTCATCGTTGGACGGTCCAGATGTGACTTGGATGATCCAACGGTTGGGGCGAATCTAAAATGTCTATAAAAGGCTCATTATCTTCATTTCGAAGCTTTTACTTTCGAGAAAATTTCACATTGCTCTCAAGAACTCTTGCATTTTCTGTCTTCCTGCATGTTCCGGAAAGCTCCGTTAGCAACTTCGACGGTTTCTCTGCAAGTTTCGGCGGGCAAAGGATATATTTCAGCGAATTTAGGTAATACTCCCCATCTTCAGTTTCTTCATCCCTTTCTTTAGATTCTACCCAAAACTTGGAAAATTCTTGGGATGGTGAGTGAAGAATCTGTTAGCGCTTCTGGGAGCGAGGAGAGAAGAGGTGATGTGAGTTATGCTTTAATGAAGCCCATACTAGTGTCTTCGGACGTGTTGAGTAGAGTCGGAGAGAAATTTCCAGACCCCCAGCCTCCCCTGTAGACACTTCAGTTCAATGGGGGCTTCGAACTACCCCTCAAAAATTACTAGGGAGGTGTTGGAGAGGTGCATGGACGTTTTTAGGATCCCTGACAGTATAGAGCTAATCATACCCGAGCCCCACGAGAGTGCCTGCTACCCGAGGTCGGGGTGTGTGGCTGTGAGTGAAAATCTTCTTAAGACAGGCCTTAGGCCCCCCTTCCATCCTTTCTTTAGGCTAGGGCTTCGTTCCTACGGGTTGGTCCCGACCCATTTCAACCCGAACTCTTAGTCCCATATGGTGGGCTTGTGGATGCTTTGGCATCGGGTCAGCCTGGGGGTAGATATGCCTTTCAGCGTTTTCAATTCTATATTTCTACCGAAGTATATGGCTGGGAAGACGAGACGAAGGGCTGGTACTACTTAGCTCCCTGGGGTCCCATGCTCCTTTCATAACCGGGCTGCCCACTTCTGTCAAGGGCTGGAGAAGCTATTGGTTCTGGGTATCCGGGAGGTGGGACACCATGCAGGGCCACCCCACGGCGCTTCTGATTGTTCCCACTTCGTACTCAACTTACAATAAGTTCCTTTCCTGAGCTGATTTCACTTGTACATCTTCGCTTATTATTTTAATATATCTTGTTTGCAGGCTCTCTTCTGAGGTGTGAAATATTCGAGGAGGAGTGGGATATAATAAGTGAGATCTATCGGACATCTCCGACGAAGTGGGGCTCTAAAGAAATTATTGACAAAAACAACCACTTTCTTCTCCACTGATTAATGTCAAATCAAGGTAAGGATCTCGCTTCACCTCTACTTATGTTCTTGCTCCAAAAATACTTATCTGTTTGCCTTGTTTGCAGGAGATTTTGCGAAGAAGAAGGTGTTGAGGCCTGACTTTGCCTCGATCCGTAAATTAGTTGCGAAGGCGAAGTTGTTGAAGGCGAGTTTGGCTGCTTACAAGAAGCAGTCTGAGCTTCTGCTATCCCTCAGTAAGGCTCAGCAGCCGGCTGGGGAAGATGATGCGGAGGAAGGAGCTTCCCTCGTAAAAAAAGTTCTGGCCCAGCAGGAGCGTCTACTCTAACTCCGTCCGCCACATTCCCTCCTTCATCCGATGCCGGGGTGACAGTGGTAGCCCCCTCTACCATTTCCCAGGCCATTGTGCCTATAACTGCATATTTCACCGAGGGGGTGACCAAGAAAAGACAGAAGCGACCTGCCATGCTCCAGCTAGGAGCAAAGTTACGGACTTCCTAGGGAGCAAGGATGACGATCTTTCTGAAGCCGTGCTGGAGATGCTTTTCCCAGAGACTGTCTCGGCCGCCAGAGTCTACAGCAAGTATTGGACTAAAGACTGGGCTAATCATGCAGCCTTGTGCGAGATTGAGGACTTGCTGGTGGCTAATAACGCTTGTGTAGCCAGGGCCCTAAGTATGGGCACCGCGACGGAGGATTTGGTCAGAGGCCTCTGCAGAAAAAATGAAGACTTGGAGAAGAGGTTGGAGGCCTCTTCGAACTGGGAGGCCGAAGTGGAGAAGTCCATGAAGGCGACCGAAGAGGTGGAGGAGAGGTGGCGACAACCACCTCGAAGTTGGACACGATCGAGATCCAGGCCAATCGGTTGAAAAACGAGCTTCATGAGTCCGTTTCTCAAATGGCAGCTCTGACTAAAAGGATTGACTAGGTCAATGACCACCAGAGAATTACTTCGGAAGCTCTGGTGCAAACAAACAAAAAGTCGAATTGAAGATTCTGTCCGAGGCTTAAGCAAAAGAGATTAAGTCGCTGAGGGCCGAAGTGAAGACGCTGGGGATGCGACAGTCGAGGACTATAAGGTGAACTTTAACAAGATGCCTGAGTACGGTGACTTCGCTAACTATAAGGCTTCCTGGACTGCCCAGGAGATGATGTCTAGCCTGCGCGAGGGGCATCCAGAGTTGGATATTGGCTTTATAGAAGAGGAGTTTGGCGGCCACACCGGGGGTAGGCCAGTGGCCGAGGAGGGAGAGGAGGCCCCCAGGAGGAGGTAGGAGCGGGGNATCTTCTATCATAGAAAACTGTTTAATCGCCTCGATTTATCTTAACCATTTGATAAAATAGAAGAAACCAATGAGTAAGTAATATCGTATCGGACTTATTCAACCACTTAATAAAATGGAAGAAGCTGGTGAATAAGTGATATCGCATTGGACTTATTCAACCATTTAATAAAATGGAAGTAGCCAATGAACCAAGTAATATCGCATCGGACTTATTCAACCACTTAATAAAATGGAAGAAGCCAATGAACCAAGTAATATCGCATCGGACTTATTCAACCACTTAATAAAATGGAATAAGCCAATGAACCAGTAATATCTCACCGGACTTATTCAACCACAATAAAATGGAAGAAGCCAATGAATAATTCACCTCGTAAGCTGTGCGTGTTCATTGCTTCATCAAAGATGGCACCCGCACCACCTCTGACTAGGCAGAATGTTGGGGTGACCCCTGTGGAGGAGCTTGCACCTCGTCCAATGTTGCTTGGTATGTGCACTTGCTGCTTCGTCAAAGATGACACCTGCACCACCTCTATTTTTTTTTCAATTGAATATGAAGATGATACCAGATAAGTTTCTCAGCATAAACAGTTCTAAAAAGAGTAACTTGGAAATAAACATCAACTTCAATGCAGAGTCATTTCTCGAATATAACAAAACAAAAATCCCTCTTTTTAAAGCACTGCTACTAGATCCAAATTAAAATGATAGAATGTCCTCAAAACCTGAGCTTGGTGAAGAACCAGCGGTTTTTCCCAGTCTTGAACCGCTCCTCGAACCCTGCCTTGGCTTCCTTAGCGGCAGTCACCTTCTTGTCTCTGGACTGGAGGGATTCGATAGATACTATGTCCTTGAGGTCCACGTCGAGGGTGTAACGAGTCGGCATAATGTGGTTGTAGTTCACCAGCTTGATAAAGCACTTGACGCGTGATTTCTTAGCCTACTTCTTGGCAGAGTCCTTGCGGATAACCTTGCGCGGGTACTTGGCTAGACCGGCCACCAGGCAGTGTCCGTAAGGGCGGTCGCGGGTACCATCATCGAAGTTGCGAATGATCACCGCCTTCTGGCCGGCGTACCTCCCCTGGAGGATTATCACCGCCTTGTTCGGTTTCAGAAACTTCACCATTGCCACCGAGATTTGGTCCTCTCTTTCTCTCTCTCTCTCTGCTCCCTTTGTTCTAAGGCTCAACACCTGCACCACCTCTGACTAGGTAGAATATTGAGGGTGACCCCTGTGGATGAGCTTGCACCTCGTCCAATGTTGCTTGATATGTGCACCTCCTGATTCGTCAAAGATGGCACCCGCACCACCTTTGACTAGGTAGAATATTGAGGATGACCCCTGTGGAGGAGCTTGCACTTCGCCCAATGTTACTTGATAAGTGCACCTGCTGCTTCGTCAAAGATAGCACCCGCACCACCTCTGATTAGGCAGAATATTGGGGCTGACCCCTATGGAGGAGCTTGCACCTTGCCTAATGTTGCTTGATATGTGCACATGCTACTTCGTCAAAGATGGCACCCGCACCACCTCTGACTAGCCAGAATATTGGGGGTGACCCTTGTCGAGGAGCTTGCACCTCGCCCAATGTTGCTTGATATATCGATGTGAGCGGAGTAAACAGACCATTTCATTCATTTGATTACCACATTTACAACATTACATGTTCCTTACTGATAATACTTCCTCAAATGT